ATGTGTCAGGGCACACACCCTGACTAGCCCAGACCCGGACCCGCTTCCGGACCCATGCTGCATGCTCCGGGCCGGGTTCCTACCCCTTCATGTGACTTCCGGGTATCCCCGGAAGTTTTCCTGATATGGTGGCCACTGTGGGAAGATGAGAAGTTAGCTTCCTTCTCATCTTCTTACCCACAGTAGGTTGTGCCCTGGATAGGGCTGGTTACACCAGTAGGCTGTGGACCATAGGGGAGGGTCATGGGGACCCAGGAGTCGTCCCCTGACAAAATGGAAGAAAGAGAGAAAGGAAGGGGAAAGGAAGATGTCAGGGCCTGGCCTCGGACTCGGAGGCTCCCTGACCTCAACCCCCATCTGGCCTGTCCTCACACTATGCGGGGCATGAGATGTATAGTAAAAGGAAAGATAATATATACACTTGCCTATGCGGGGCATGAGATGAGAAGAAGGGTAAAGGTCTCATCTCCCCACATGGTTGCTATATAAAGGAATGGGTCACATGCCCACAACTATACAGCTCTAGAGTTGTGTAGTGTGACCCGGAGGGAACATCCAGGTGGCAGTGCCCAGTAAGCATGGGAACGTTCTGGGCGAGTTGCTTGCCCAGAACTGTGGCTGTGACCCATGGGAACATTCTGGGCAAGCTGCTCGCTCAGAAAGTTCCCACGCTATCCCGTGCGCACATGTGTACACAACACACAAAGGCAACAACGAGGCAACAGTCAAAGAATAAAAGGGGGTAAAGTAGGTGGGGAGTCCGGGGCACCCTAAGGCAGGGTGCTGAACCCTGACAGAAGAGAAGAGAAGGGGAGCAGCATGGCATGCCCTGACACTCTTCCAATTGATCCCTGCTTTTGTGTATATAGCTCTATGTGTCACTAAGGGTTGGAACCTCAGCTTTATCTATGACTAGGTTTTCAGGTGGTACTTGACTTGGATTGACAAGCGACTCCTGACACTCACTAAAAGCTTGGGTTGCCACCAAAGCCATCAATAGTAGATCAGCCACTATTGGCAACCTTTAATAGAATCATCTCACAATCCTTACAGCTGCTCCTGGGAACCCTGGACTCCAGAGAGCTGGCACATGCACTGCACTGTTAGAAGAAGAGGAGCAGCAGAGCTCAAGAGAGCATGTCTCCTGGTTCTTTGAGAGGGTCTAAGAACCTTCTGGGCTCCCCAAGCTCTGCAGGATATCTCCACTCCAAGAGGTCCCTGCATGTTATGGAAATGGGAAATTCCCATTTTTAGCCTCTTATGGCCTCTGTGTTGGAAAATCGCGAGATCGATGTAGGATAAATAACGGTCACACTATGGAAACCCATTATGGAAATATGCCAGATAAATCACAAAACCTCATATGACAAGTAGATATGAGAAAATAGAAGGACCTGAATTTTAACGAAATTTTACGAATTATTATGACTATACACGATAAATTGAAAGAAAGAAAAATAGCAAAAATACTTCAAGCTTAGCATCAACGAGACGGAATTCTTGGGGGAATTTATAGCAAATATTAAACCAAGAATTAGGACAATCGACCAAGATTTGACTATAAAAACAATCAGAGAACCTCCACGGAAACTACTTTCCCACATCCGCACATGTAGCCAAGGATGGAAGTACCACGGAACAAGGATTCCTCAGGAACTAATGCAAAATTCAAAGTCGTGTCTATAATAGGAAATGTAGATGTCCCCCAAACGGACCCAATGAAAGTAATTACAGGGGAAACTACCCATAAACAATGGAGATATGACTAAAACTCCTGCAAAACAAGGACAACGTCTAAAAGGCAAGCGCGAAGATTAACCAGTAACGACCGAGACAAGCTCGATAGCCCATTAGAAAGGAAGGGATCTAATCTTAATCCTCCCAAATTTTCATAATAAAAGGATCATGCATTAATGAGATATCCAATAACGGGAATAGTGACATCAAAAGTCCGAGCTCAGGGAAAAGACGATGTTTGCATAGGATCCATAATTAAAACATACAACGAAATTTACACAGGAATTATGAAAAATGGGGAACTATAGTTATGCAAATTTTCAGCCCAAACGGTCCCGCTGTTGTGAAGTTATACCCATGACGGGAATATAGAAATCCACATCATGTGTAATGACATGTGAGGGTGGCGATGCGCAGGGAACCGGCCATCGGAACCGAGATCCGCACTTCAGCAGATCGTGAAGACCAATTTCCATCCAAATAAGGAAGAGCCCGGTGAAAACAAAGCACGGAAAGAGCAAAACAACCTTAGATCATGAGGGAAAAATCTGAAATAAATCACAGAAGCCCATATGAAAGAAATAAACACCCGCGCATATCATAAATCCCGAACAATTAAACGGAAACGATGCCTGCATACGAACGACTATGGGAACGAAGCACGTGATTACCGAATGTGTGCGCGAACTTTTGCTAACTCAACGAATACCAGGAAATAGGACACAACCTTAGTACCATTGGAAAGGTGGGAATAAATGAAAATTTAGAATACCAAGAACGTGAGAAAACATCCAGAAATGAATGAGATACAAGGACATGAAGTCAGAAACCTGAAAACGCGCGGGAAGACAGCTTCAAGAGGTCCAGAGTCCTAAATAAAATACATAAAAATATGATATCTTCAAGGACGACCTACTATAACAACGAACAATACATATGGAGGATTAGGATGTGATAATACAAAGGGGAATCAGGGAATATGAACGAAATTCATGAAAACCACTAAACTATGACGGACCATGGCGGGAATTTTAGGGAACGATGTTCTAATGAAGTGGAGAGCTATAATACATTCGTTTGAGTAATTATTGACTACTAGCAACTTTTTCTTTCAGTTTTAAACCTGAATAATTCACTCATTTACCATTTCAGTCTCATTTTAACTAAATGTCACTAAATAAAATTGGAATAAATCAGCTGAAGGTCTCAGCACAGCCGTACGCATAGTAATGCGAAGTTTGAATTCAGAATCATCGAGTCATAGCAAATTTAATGGTATATATAGGGAATTTGAAATAGGTAACTGCGACAAATGCAGCGCAGCCAAGTTCTAATTAACCATTAAAATAGCTTAGGCGAGGGAGGACAATAAGGATTCTAGGCGCAGTCTGACCACAGTAGAACTGCAGTTCAGCGCAGCAAAAGCGCAGTAGAACTATAGTGTGAAAATTTCATTTTTTATTCAGTTTGAGAAAAATACACTGTAAATAAATCCTGTAAATAGAAGGTAGAGCATGAAAAAGGAAGGCGACCCAAGGAGTATAAAAGGGAGACCCTTTCTGCGACTTTTCACCCCCCTTAGAGAAGTAAGAAAATAGAGTATTATTTTTCTCAAGCATTTCTGGTTGTCACTCCAGCGCAAAAAAGTGAAATACAGTTAAGATTGCCACTGTAGTAAAAGGCAGCAATTAAGGAGAGAAATATTAAGTAAATATTTCAACAGGAGAGCTGATTAACACTCCAGATTTCAAAGTGTAAACACAAAACAGTTATCTTGCTACTGTTAAAAACAAGCAATAAAATAAGACAAAAATAAAACAAACCCAAGGGACACTCCAGACACAATCCAAATCCATTAACTGAATAGAATCTTTGAAACTTCACCAAGTAGAAGATTAAATTCAAGTTAAAATCCAAATTAAAACAACGCTACACAGAATTACACCTAGACAAATTAAGAAATTTCAATAAAGAAACAGCTCTGCAGGGCTCGGTTTATCTGTAAGTCAATTCCCAGGAACTTTAAAACTAACCCATAAAAATAGAATTAGCCAAAACACTCGGATTGGTACTATATTTACAATAAATAATACTAGTACACTTCCCCATCCTAACTAAAGAACCAGGGAACAGCTTGGTGATGGTCTCGTTTGAACCTCCCAACTGACCTTCCTTCGTTCTCTCCTTCATCAATCAAAAGCATGAGACTTGACATTTAAAATGCCAAAATTTGACGTTTAAACGTGAATTTTGGCATCTAAATGTTGTGATAAATTGTTTATGGCGTTTTTTGATATTATTGAATGCGTTTTTATACCCCTCAAACGCTCTGAATATGTTTTTAATAACTTAATAAATGTGTCATAAATGCTTCCTACAGCATCAAAATCGTCAAAAACCTGTCTCATATAACACATGAAGTACCACCACATCTGACCAATGTATTCTCATTGGCTGTTGGGTAGTTGTTGTAAATAAACACCATGAAACGTTTCCCGGGCGTTTAAACGATATACGGGATTTTCCGACATGTACAGTATATTATCACGTGACATGTATATAATAAGAACTTAACTATCAACAATCACCAAAATCCACACTTTGTTAATGTCATTGTAAAGACAACTGTTAAACCTCTGTTACATTAACTGTAACACTATTTCGATGTCACGGCCACTCCCTGCACCCGGACGCTATAGAAATGGGCCAATTAGGCCCCATTTTTATAACACTGCAAGTTTCCTGATGTGCTGACAAGCTCATTGCCTCAAGAGGAAATCATCAGATGATCATTGAAAGACAGAGAAAAGGCATCACATTGTACATGATGTACAGGAAAAAGTCATGCCTATGCATCCATGCAAACCATTAGACATAAAAGATCATGGAACAAACTGGAAACCACAGATGAAACATCAACGGTTGGAAGAGGGGAAAAGGGGGAATGTTCGAGAAAAATAAGATGTGACCACATACCACCCATGAGCGAAAGCAATTGCATCAGTTAAAGAATGGGGTAATTCATGGGAAGGGAAAGGGGGATAAAGAACAATGACCCCTACCAAAGATAGGGATAATAGCGCGGATAAAGGATACAGCTACACAAGTAACAAGGTAAAGAAAGAGAAAAGGAAACAATGAACAACGTTTCATGCAGCATCCAGTCCAGAATAAAAGGTAACCGCCTTCAGTCGCAGTTACCCCCAAATAGATATTTAAAAAAAGGGGCAGGACAAGCAAACCATAGTGACCTGACACAGGCCTCAAGGACCCGGCAACCTCTGCACAGGGAGTGTCGGCTGAGACCCAATTCCGTTCCCAATCATCACCTGCCTCCCAATACTAGGCACTCCATTGACGACCACATACAAAAATGCAGGTCCGGACGCAAACAGCGCAGGGTTCGGTGGAACTTGAGAGACGAACAAAGAGATCGAGCCATCCGAGTTAGGGGCCGCAGTGCTATTCCTGTTTGCACATAACACACGCCATCATTATCAGTAATGTCCGAGGCAAAGACGACTTAGGAAGGGGGGGGGAGGGAGGGAAAGAAAACGCACAATTGCAAATATCTCTGTCCCATGTTCACCCCATGGGTCGAAAACCCAGTCCGGATAATAACGGCTTTACTTCTCGTCGCAGCCACACCAGGAGTCAACCCTTGCAAACTGGCCCCTCTCAACCGAATCGTGAAGAAATTGCCTCCATAGGACAATCGTCCCGGGATCGCCCCAATAGGTTGAGGCCTTGCATGGTTGTAGTACCACGGGAAGAATTTCTCCGTTCGGTACTCAGTGGGGAAAAGCCGGGTTTGGACATCATTATTAGGATTCGAACCTGCTATGAAGACAGAACCTGTTGGGTCGTGAGTCAGGAGGTAGGGGGGGTGAGATTCATTTAGAGCGAAGGAGAGGGATAATCAAAAACAAACCATCGGGAAGAAGGATAGCTGAAGAATGATACATCCTCGCGACGCTACTCGTTCCAAGTCCCGCACGACTGAACGACCTCGTAGCGGGATTGTAGATCCTAGAGAAAATGAGGAAGACAATCAACAAGTTGCCAGCGGACAAAAAGAGAGAAAACCAGCTTCTTGTCAAAGCCGACGAAGAAAAAAAAAACCTACACTGGCGTCCGAAGTGGATTCTTAGCAAACGAGCTCCCAATTAAATACGATCCCGTTCCATATCCAGCCGTTCCTAAAAGAAAAATTAAATTAAATTAAACGACATTCGACACCCTCCAGAGGGAGAAACCAAAAGAAAACCACCAAACTCACCGGTCCTAGCCCCATTGCCCAACCAAATCTTACCATCCGGCAAAAGAATGAAATTCCCCATCGTCCTCCCCTCAGGTAAGGGTGCATCCCCACTCCAGCTGCCTCCACCATCCGGCGTGATCCTCACACAATTGTTGCTCGCGGGGCGATTCACCAACGAAGGCGACGGCGTCCAATTATTGATGTTCTGTCCTCCACACATCAGGATTGTTGCGGTGTAACCATTAGCGGGGGTCAAAGGGAGAAGAACGCTCGCTCCGCTTCCCGGGTAAGTCCGGACAGCGCTGATGTATATGCGCAGGTGGTAGAGTCAATCAGCATCATTAATGAATCGAAGAGATGAAAATGGAAAGAGAAGAGCCGTTGCTGAGAAATGGAAACATAGGGTGGGAGAGCGAAAACGCGTGACGTAACGCGACTTCCCTTCTCTCTGGCCATGAAATCACGAAAAGCAAACTTTACTCACGCAGGAACGTCCGCAATCCTGGTCTCAGTGCCACTGTTAGGATCCAAGATAGCTGTACCCCGACCTGCCTGAATGAAGAGCCGTCCAGAAGGCAACAACCAAGTCAAGGGGTACAAATTGGCAGGGAGGGTGTTGACCAAAAGGTTGAGCGTTTTGATCCCACCCCGAGATGGGTAGAATTCGTAGGTAGGGTTGTTACGTGATGCGTCTGTCGTCGAGTCATGGAAGGTGGATATTGCGTGACGATGTCGCGAAGGAGGCGGTGTAAATGGACGCCGGCGGCCGGGGGATGTAACGAACCCATTGATACCGTCCGATCAAGACGAGTCCCAATTCCAATTCGAGTCATACAATGAGAAAATGAGCATCGTGAAGATGATGAGAGGAGACACACTGACCGTTGACGTAACCACCAAACTTGGTCCCTCCGATAATGATCACACCTCCATCATTCATTGGTTCACTGTGAGGCCGAACGACCACCGGTTGCCGAACAGAAAAATGAAAGTTCCCCAAGTTAGGCGGCGCGAAAAAGCAAGGACTAGACGAGCTTGGGAAGCTTACACTGCAGGATACCACCTCCTCGTCGACAAGGCATTAGCAGGATTATCATCCCACTGGCATCCACCGTTATCGCAAGGCGTAAGGAACCTCACGCTAATCCAAAAGACATCAGTACATCCTCAAAACGGGAAGAAGAAAAAAACTCACGCAAACCCGCCATCACCATCAAACGAACCGTCGACGCCTGGATTGCCACCGATATCAATCCACCTCCCATCCCCTAAACTACCACCACCAGCACACCATGTATTCGTCCTTACGTCCATGGCACGTATACCATTGCTGGAAAGCGTATACTCGGTCGCGAAGGCCGGATGACCATTCACTTGCAAAGCATTCCTTTCGACTTTGTCGATGATGTAAACCTATACATCATGGTCACCGTGATTCATCATGAACGTGAATGAGGAGCGGGTGATGGAGACAGAGACAGAGACAAAAAAAAACAAAGCCCATTAGTCACATCGTCAAATCCCCGGCGTCAATTCGGAAAAAAGAAAAAAAAAGAACGAGCCGGAAAAACCGAAAAGGAACGAGGAACAAGGAACGGAGTCGAGGAAGATATCCGACCCTGAAACATCCCCCCCCCCTTTATCGTCGCGACAACCTCTCGATATATGATAAATGTGCGCCCTCCGGGAAGAACGGCAAGAAAAGCAAAAGAACAAAAAAAAAACAAAAAAAGGAACGAGTTGCAAGTTACTTGAAAACTCACCTTATTCGGCCTACCCAGGAACATCATCTGCGCCGATACACCACTATGTAAACAAAACCATGAGTGCCAAAGAAGAAAAGAGAGTACTGGTAGTTGCAACCGACTGACCTGTTCCCAACAACCGTGAAACCATTGGTGGGAGCTCTACGCTCGATATGACTCCCATTCGAATAGGCTTCGTATTGCTCCACGAGTTTATCCGAAGGAAGGTTCTCTGAGGACGGGAGTCTCGCGCCTTGTGAGAGCAGAGGCGTAGAAAGGAGAACGGAGAGGAAGAAAAGCATGGTTTAGAATTTTTGGTTGACTTGCTGTTTACAAACGCCGAGGCTGAATCATCATGTCTTGGAGAGGAAAAGGAAATGAAAATACCTTACTGGAACGACGTCAAGCCAAATGGGGGATGGTGCAAGAGACCAAAGCCAAGTGTCGACAAAGGTCGCGTGTTGGAGAAAGAGCAAAGCACGCGACGATGAGAGCGCAAAGCTGGAGGGGAAGAGAGAAAGAGCACGAGAGAGGGGGGATATATACGTAAGGGGAGGGGACGGAGAGACATTGTACACACGGGTACACATGGGTAGGTAAATGAGCAACGGATGGCCATTACCGAGAATGGACAAGTGATTGAATTGAAAGGGACTCTTAGTTTATTGTTCTTGACTTCAAGCGTCTCTGACGTGGGAAATCTATGTGAACTAGACCCGGAAATGAATCATTGTAAATGTGGTTACTTGAAGAATAGAATACATACACAACGTTGTTGCTTGAAGTGAACATCCTCACCAAACACAACGTCGGCACGGCCCGTGCCGTGTCCACGACCCAGTCTCTCTTACCTCCACCTCAGCTTCGACGTAAACCGAGTCTCAAACCCCCCGATTCAACCCTCCAGGGGCAATCCAAGAGAAGAAACTTGCCCAACTCTGGTTCCACAAAAACTCCACTCTCGTACCTGAATCACACACCCACAAAACCTTGTCCAATTTGTCCAACCCTTAACGACGGTACATACCAACCTTCCCCTTCAACACAAATACCAGAATACAGCCTGGGAACGTATCAGAAAACGATGTTGATTCAGCAAATGGTGTCATCGGCTAACATGAAAAAGATAAAGGGAGGGCGGGAACATCAACGCGCTGCTTCGTTGGTGAGGACTCAACGAGGCAAACAAAAATCGATCTTCCAACTCTCCTCTCTCCCGTTCTCATTCATCACCTGATTAACCCCGCATTCACAAATCAGCCTCCGGCCATTTGTACATAAGCGCCCTGCCAAGCCTTCCTTTTGATTCGATCGAACCATTCAATTTAATTCATTCAGAAGACGTAATAACCAAGATCATTTAATTAACCCGATACATTCATGAACTCCACTCGAGATGATAAGATAAATATAGATTATGTATATGTATATATTTTGCTCTATTGAGGCAATCGCCTCGTTGTGACAAAACAAATGTTAATTATTCGTCTTCGGTCTGGCCTCGCACTTTTCAAGAAACAAAAGGGTCACTTACAACCAAATTCCCTGAAGCACATGTCTGCATTTTCAAAGAAAAACTCATGACCACCGAAACCAGAACGCCACCTTCCTTTCTTCTTTCCTTCTATACTCGGTTCTTTGTATACTAGTATACTACCTTCCGCTTCTCATTCGTACGTAAAATTGAACCAATAAAATAAAAAATAAAAAGGGGGGGGACCCACAATAGTACGATGACCGAATCAAAACAGTTGGTTCGACACCCCTCCCCAAAATATTGAATTTATCCATACAAGAAACAAGAAACCGGAGCTAGTCGATATATAGCCGATCAGTACCACACCTAAATCCTGTGACCGAAGAAGCGCCGGAATTGGGGCATAATTCTGAACATGATGTAATGTGTCTCGCGGATCCTGAGTATTGGTTCACACTAGTTTCGACGCCGCATGCCCATGTGGACCACCCCTCGTTCTCGCAATAAGTGAAAAATAAATTAAAATGGAGCAAGTCGCTTCTCGTACCATTGCTGGGTTGCATCAGGCTTTTTTCCGTGCAACAGCATGTAACCCTTGCAGCTGATTGCTCGAGTATCCAAGCGAGGCGCGGCGGCTGACAAAACGAACCGCCGGATGTGAAATAATTACAATTCTGGTTTCTTACCTTCATAACAACAAACGGCAAACGGGGTATTCGATCGATTCATTCGTACGTACGTACGTACACACTTGAGAACGGAAATCGATCATTGTATACGGTGAAAGGCTAGGCAAGGCTGGGGGAGCTAAGAAAGTTTCTTATCGGTCAAGGGGGGTAGAAAGAGAAACCTCACTCAAGAAACTACATACTTCAGCCAAACAACAATGCCTGCCTTTTGTTTCACGCACGTTACGTATTGGACATCGCTCGACGTGAACAGTACAAACATACACACACCCCGAATCCCAATCACTTCTCGCTATCCAAATCGTCCATGACATATCATCGGCCATTAGTCCCTCCTCGCCGCGGCTAATTACGCCCACCTAGCTAGCTTGTCAGGTCACGGTACTACCCGGTTGAAGCAAAAGCGAATGAGTCGATTGCTAGCATGAGCCCCAACGATAAATTGATACGTCGTCGGATCAAGACTAGTGCGCTATTGATCCATATCTACTGTCAACCAAGGCCAGTCATCCATGAGCAATTGCATGCTTTACAGCCAATAGTACGCACGGGTAGCACTTGTCATATTAGCGCAAAACTCCGTATTACATGCATGTCGATCGAATTTGGTGGGTGTGTATTTCATGAATTTGATCATATGCCACAACTCCCTCGCCGCGCTCACCTCATTTGGTGTCGATGACGCCACATCTATCCGCCGGTACACCATACACACATACACAGCAGTGGTAATTGTAGCTGAAAGATTTAGCTTTTCCAGCATCCAATACCGCTTACGATCGATCCCGTCCCAGGGAATTACTATAATCTACCTTGCCTCATCTCGAAAACCGACCTATATCCAATGATTACCCAACACAACCACGCGGTGCGACCATCATTCAAATTAACTTTACCATAGCTGTTCAGGATAACCTTCCCATGCAGCTCTCGAGGTTATTCTCCCGAGTCAAATAGAAGAAGAAGTGATTGGCAGCCCGGGCAAATCAAATGAAAAAAAGAAGCTGCGTGCTCATGCTCCAAAGAAATCTAAAGTGTTTCCCGTTATGTACCCCGTCTGCAAGAGCATTTTCAAATTTGAATCGGGTATATATAACTGCTCCCCCCCCTCCACGCCGGAGCTTGGTAAGTAAAAGTAAGCGAGCGCCACATGCCCTCCGGCCCGCTCCACATTCCCCATCACCTCCGCGGCTTTCTCCAAGGTTGGCTCAGCATGCAAAGGGCCCGGTGTGACGTACAACCTTCTCCCGCCTGCGGCTTAAGTGCTTCACGCAAGTGTCCACGAGGGAATCATGCAACCACCTTCGATCGATCTACTCATGCATTTTGCACACATATAGTCCAACCCAACCCACGGACGTACATAGCTGTACTTTACATGTTTAGATGAACGAGTGGGTGCGGCTTTCTTTGCCCGACGACAGAATCGAGTCACTCCTTTGACCTGTGTGAATCCGCAAGTACGGACGGATGTTGGCTTGAGTGCTAATTGTGCATGGCTGGCAGCTTTTCATGAGTGGGTGAATCCCCACAACCACTTGAGCCACCGGTGGACGTAGGCAACAATTGAGTAAAGGGCTCGCGCCCTCTCCGATCTTGTCAGAACCAGAACCACATACTCGTAACCCATCATCACAACGACAATGAGTTCCTCTACCCTCCTATGACGCGCGCACCAACAGAATCGGGTTACACCTCCGACTCCATTGGGTAATTATGACATACGATCGGATCTTTCGGACCCAGCCGTATCCACGTATACGAGCGCTCTATTATTGCAGTCTATCCAGAGCCCGTATCCCTTTTCCCCAGCATTAATAAGCGCCCAAATATGGAAGTACTGAATGAATGGACAGAATGGTCAATATTCTTTTAAAGTCCGATCGCGACAAGTGACTGTATTGAATAATGACAGCCGTTGCTTGGCCCAGAGAGCACTTGGGAATCGACCCTCCGTAGGATTACGGAAGTTTACTTGAACACTGGAGGAGTCACCGGGTGTGACATTAGAACTCGGCTTGCTGATGGGGGTTGATCGTTGAACCTGACTTGACCAAGGAGCCAGGTGCTATTCCTCCGTGCCTCTCCCAAGTTCCCAATTTGGTATATATTGACCCAGAGGAACATGAGGGACTTCATCCCCAAATTTAAGGTGGTATGCCTTAGGCCCTATTGTGACATGCGTGAATATAACTAGTAGAGTGCTCGCGCTGATGCCAGGTTATTGCTCCGTTGATGAGGAATACCGACCGGGAGACAGCAGAAATCAGGAAATGAAAGGCCAACAACCAACTCTTGGCTTCTACGATAACTGACAGTGATACCTGTTTTCTGGCACGGTTGTTCGTCAGGGTTAGCTGCTGGAGCGAGCCTCTGTGAGCTCGGACAGCCCGGCACGTCGTCCAAAACAGCACAATTTCGTTATCTGGCAGCTTAGCCAAAGACAATTAAAACGTATATGCGTAACCGTTTTTCCGTGATATAACACCCCTTCGAGGTATCCCGCACCACAATGGAGTTTAGCTGACGTAGTAAAAGATAAGGCAGCCCCTTAGCCAGGTTGAGTATATGCGTGGGGGGGACAGTCACATCATCCAAGCGATATTTCCCGAGAGCAAAGTATATATTCGAAGCAACCCCCAAGTACCAGAGGCTGACAGAAATAGTCAGTCCTCAAGGACAAAATTGCCATGATCTTCATTTAGAAACTGAATTACGGAGAAGGCAGCTTCCGCAAGGATTGCGTCAAGTTCCAAATGAGGTTGCCCTTATCGGCGACAATGATCGATCAGAAGTCGGGCAGATCAACCTCTCCCTGGCCTCCCGAGCTAGCATGCACAAGCCGATAACATATACCAGCGCCACCACTGTAGTAACATCTGCTCAATGAAGATGATATGTGGGCCTGTTTTGTTAATCCCGGAGAAGCGGTGGGGAACGAAGGGACCCCGTTGAATCCATAATATCGTGACAAGGGTACGGTGTGACGCTACCATAAAACGATACACATTGAATGGTGAGAGAACGACGAGCAAATGAGCTGAGGTAACTGCTTGAGATAACCAGTGGGTCGATCCCTCACCCACTCGCTGCATACATGCTAGTACATTACCCTCACATGTGACGTATTGGAGTTGTTGGCATGCCATTGCCAAAACGTTCAGGCTCTGGGATACTGGCTTACGCAGGCCTTATCGTACCGTGCATCATGGGACCTCGAAAGGAAGAAATTTTGAATTTTAAGGCATATAACGGCCAGAGTCTCGAGCTCTGGTAGTGCTCCCTATCGAGACATGGCCACCACTCAACTCGCTGAACACCTCACTGCAGCCCGCAAGGCGCCATCCCCCAACGTGAAAACTGCTCTGCGCCTCTGCGACGCTTGGATTTCATATTCTGATGAAACCCTGAAGACCGCCATGGATGAGTGCGTTGCGGACAGCTTTGTCTGGAACGCACTTCCAGAATCACTCAGCACGCCAGGATGGAATCAGTTGAATAAGGCGGCGTTCATCGAAGCATTCCGGACTGCTTGGTGGGCCGCGATTAAGGGAATGCAGGTACGCCGTTTGATCAGTCGCGACAGGAGCCCCCAAAGACCATTTCCTTTCCTTTCAGCTTATCGTCACAGACTTGGTGGAAAGCGAAAATAACGTGATTCTCTACACCAAGTTCGGGGTACGTCTCGTTTTTGTTGTTATACTATCCCCTCTGAACGCCAACGGGTCCCGTACACACAGCCCGGCGTCGTCTCGGTAGAAGGGAAGCCGGTCGCTACTTCGCACGTGCACGGGTTTCGTTTCAACGCCGATGGAAAAGTCGTGGAGCAGAATGACTTCTTGGACACCAAGTGGATGACGGATTTCTGGGGGTCAGAACCCCAGAAAACCATAGTAGCAACCGGTGGAAACTCTGTCGCAGCCGGAGGAAATCGTTAGCCGGAACTGGGCTTCATTTCGGAATCAACAAATAACAGTCGACGTTCGGAATCCAATGTATGATGCTTTGCCAACTTGCCGAATGACAATGTAACAGTGACAGTTATCGCTCAAGTCAGCCCACTTTTTCCTGAGAATTGCCAGCAGTTTCGCCACCTTCGGCCAGGTGTCCCTGATACCTCCATGGAGAGAACAGCCGACTTCGAAGAACAAGGAGGGTCCATAAGCTGAAGCGAGAGACAGAGGTAAATCTACACTTGATCTTCGTGGAACTGTCAGGAGCTCGTCGAGCAGCGGTTAAACATGTTCAATGACTCCAGGCTGACGAAATCATCCAACTGAAGTGTTTCTAAGGTGCTGGGAACATTTAGAACACGAGAGGACTGTGTGAAAACGAGGGTATTTAAACGACACCGGGTGTCCTAGAACTGGGCTGGGAACTGCTACTAGATGCCGGTATTAGCTGCAGCACCGTTTGAAGAAAAATTGAGATCTAAAAATAGAAGAGGCTAGACTGCTCACTCGCCTCGGATGACAAGGATGAGATTGGTATTGGAATATCAATCTCCATGCGTACCAATATTCTTTTTACTGACGCGATATCAATTAAGGATATCGTATATACCTTTCATCAGGAAACTCGGAAGGGCCTCCTGGAGCTGGGATATCCCACGGAGCTTGGGGAGCCCAAAAGGTCCTTACCCCCTCTCGAAGCACCAGGAGGCACACTCTCTCGAGGCTCTTGAGCTCCCCTGCTCCTCTTCTTCCCATGGTGCAGAATGTGCGCAGGCTCTCTGGAGTCCAGGGTTCTCAGAGTTTTTGAATTTTGCGACGTGCAACCAAATAAATAGTGGAAGAAAGAATTTATTTATTCATTGGTAGATGCATCATAGTAATACACACAATGGCATGAAGAGGAAATGATGGATGTGCAAGCAAGGACAAACAGGCAGCATTCAAATACAGGATAAAAAGCACACACAGTATGTTATGGAAATGGAGAATCTTATGGTCCGTGACAGGCAACCAGACCTTTGTTGGAGGAGCAAGTCATAACGGGTGTTGTGCACTTTCCATACTTGTCTCGATGTGTATTTACATGTATTTACACCGACAAATATATCTTTAGAGTCTACTGCCATCCCAACCGAGCCGCCGCACTGAGTGGTGCAACTTTAGGTTATGAGCCCAGAGCGGCTCACCTGGGTTGGTTCAAGTATAAGTCCACATGACTCTCGTGGCACCCTGGCCAGGTTCAAGCGGCTTATGAGGAAGACTTCAAGTTTGTCTGCGATAAGTCCTTGAAAAGGCACGCATCTTTGGAAAACCCGAGGCTGAGATACAATCTTGGAAAGCCCTATTTGAGGCTGATTGCAAGCCCCTTGGATGAAGCCCTCACACTGGGAATGCGGCACAGACTACCACTCCTTTATATTTTCCGTCGTGCCACGTCATAAAATTCCCACGGTCTTTGCGCTGCGAACTATAACCCTCTGAAGCATAGAATGCTCTCAGGAGGGACTTGGAGATCTCTTGGGCTGATCTACTGGATCTTTTCTTTGGGTCCTACATGAATGAGAGGAGGACTACTTGGATTCGACTTGAACATGCGCGCGCGCGTGTGCGACACTTTGTTCCACATCCACCTCCTGTTTCCATCCCCACTTCAACTCCAAATTCACTCTGGCTCAGATCACCTCGACAATTATGCAGAAACACCGGACCAATCTATGGCCGAGCTAACACCTCTTTTGAGGATGAAGATCTATTACACCAGTGATGTACTCAAGCGGGAGATCATGCAAACTACCATTCATATCCCATTGTCCCATTTCATTTCCACTTTCGCGAAACCACTCAATGATCTCTTGGGCTGATCCTTTAGATCTTTATTCTTTGGGACTGATATATTCCACATGAATGAGAGGAGGACTAGGAACTGATTTGGACACGCGCGCGCGATTCTTGCAGCTTTTATGCATGCAATATACTCCCTTAACATCGCCTCAAGCAATTTTACTGTTGACTCCACACCCCTTGGGCTGGGGGCATGATGCAAATTCAACAAGGCCGGGTTCAGCTTGGCTCCGGACCATGCTTTATAAAAATGCGCAATATTTCCACTTCCACCTCCCGTTTTCGTCCTCGCTATCACACCAATTGGCTCCGGCCTTAATCCACCTCAACAAATCAACAATCACATACTGCAACATCTACAAATGCGGCAGCATCCTATGAGTCAGCTTATAATCAGCGACTCCGATGCAAATAGCTATGGAGCGCGACCCGCTTTTCAATGCATGCAGGGGGGGGACTAAGATTCCCTTTTGAGGACAAGGATCTTTTGAAGCGAAGACATGTGAGCAAAAACTCATGCAAAACTACCATTCATGTCCCATTTGCCCATTTTACGATCATTTTCGTGCACAATCCAATTCCTTTCCAACAATCGCCCTGTGACCAATCCGAACCACCATCACACATGCCCCTTTCCCTAACACCTGAGGGGGAGAATAGTCGCTATGCTTCAATCAGCTGTCATAGAAGGAGGGGGAGCTGCCTAACTAAGGGCATTGATAATAAGGAGTGGGTGGTATAATGCGACCAAGAAGGACGCTGAGGGGGAGGTCATCGATTTAAGGGCACAGCAAATGGAGGAATCATAAGGCCATCAAACATTTCTTTATTGGCATAGTCTTTATGACAGCCAACACCTTTGTTGCTCATCATATTGAATATGGTAATGATTTCTACATTCATTTTTGTCCTATGGACAATTTTCTATCAACCTCTCCTATCAAGTTGTTACTTGATTCCACATTCATTGAATATTTTTGGATCATGACTTGAGGGGGAGTGTTGGAGGAGCAAGTCATAACGGGTGTTGTGCACTTTCCATACTTGTCTCGATGTGTATTTACATGTATTTACACCGACAAATATATCTTTAGAGTCTACTGCCATCCCAACCGAGCTGCCGCACTGAGTGGTGCAACTTTAACCTTGAGGCCCTTTGCTATGGAAATGGGCCTAGACTCCTATAGACCAGGCACACAGGTAAGATATTTCTTACTTCTTCTCACTTCATTCTCTGCCAAACCCCATGCCAAGCTTTCCCACTGGGTTTTGGTGCTGGCTGGGGGATTTGTTGATTTCCAAAGGACTTCCTTTGGCCATTATAACATTTGTATTAGATAGATACAAGTCATATGATATGTATGGCAATTGCCGAGATGTTTTCTCATTATCGAATACATAACCCACAAACCTTGTACCGCAATTGTAACATCCTCACCATTGTGCCACCACTGTAAACTCAACCTGTAACCTTGGAACCATGTCCACCTCCCTATTCATCCTCTCCATGACAAAACCACAGCGAGGAGGGCATTCCCACGCCCAACCTCCTGCTGCCCGCTCCCGCCAGTCCACCAGGTGGTTGAGTGGTCACTCCCATCCAACCAGAAGTTCCCTATCAGGAACTGTAGCCTATCCCACCTCCTTAGGAGAGGGATATAGTCCAGGCAGCTCCAGAATGTCTGGCCCCACACCCGCAGGTCCCACTTCCCACGGTCACTCACTACCGTGCACTGGTCCACCAGCCCGCTTTCCCCAACAACCCCCGCTACCGGTATGCTCCCATGAGTGCCAAGTCACCGCTAGCCAACTGCTCCCAGCACACCCGCTACCGGCACGCTCCCAGGAGCGCCAAGTCCCCGTTAGCAGACAGCCAGGTGGCTCCCTCAAGGAGCCCATGTCATACTCGCTACCGGTACGCTCCCAGGAGCGCCAAGTTACCGTTGGCCAACCCACAGGTTACACTGCCAGACACTCATCCCATTCCGCTCTCCCTCCGATGGCTATGCAGCCACCTCCATTAGTGAGCCGAACGGCTCAGGTTGGGTTCCCCAGAACCCGTTCCTGTAACACAGTAGGTGGAGTTTGGGGTCGGGGGTGAGTCATAAGGAGAAAAAAAAACCTAGCCAAAGGCAACAGTACTTCACCCTGACTACTTGCAATCAGTACCATGTCAAAGGCAGTGAAAGAAAAAATGCACACAAGCAGTGGACACCAGGCAAGATCGACACAGTAGGCATAGAGGCTAAAGGCACAAAGGTTGGTGCACAAGGGAAGATTGTGAGCACCAGGATCTGGGGGCACACAAGTCTCGTTTACTCTAGCCCATTACAGTAAATCCCAACATGTTTTTGAAGTTTTGTGTGGGGCCAATTGCCACCAGGCAGTAGCATGGGAGTGAAGTCAGCAAGTCATTTAGATCAGAGATTAGGAGCCAAAATGAGCGTACCATCTGTCCCAATCCTACTGTTTAACCGAGGGTTCTCCTGGAATGATTGGTAGTTGATACCAGGCTACAATTGTTATGAGGGTTCCCCTCAAACTGGATGGCCAAGCTTGCAGTGCCTTAGTCAAGTATCACCCAAAAACCTAGTCATAGACAAAGCTGAGGTTCCAACCCTCAGCAACACATAGGGCTATACACATGAGAGATATGAATCAATTGGAAGAAAAAGGATCAACAGAACTAAATGATGAGGTAGGCAACAAACAGGGAGATACTCAGATCAAGGGGTGGAGTCAGATCAGGGAAAGGGGTGAGAGAGTTATGGGCTGATGCAGCTACATGCGGTGATATATGTAGTCATATGCTATGTCCCCTGACATTCAGATTGCCCACAAAGATATGCCAATATGGGTCTGATCTGCTAGGAGCCCTAGATGTCAGGTAGAGGGAGGGTGCATGGACATGTGGGTTAAAGTCTTGGCAGGTGACTGATAAAAATGGAAGCAGGATTGCATATATACATGCTACCCAGGGAAATCAATGTTGTTAAGTTGCCATCATAGTGTACCTGATATCAATCAGAGACAGCTAGCCATGTGTTCTGCACTTGCTCCCTGTGTCAGGAATGTGTCAGACGCGTATCCGGGTGACCTGCAAGGCATGCGAAGTTGTCCAGGCTCATAAGGTTGGAGGGGCGGGACTTTAGCTTCAGTGACTCGGGTGGAGTGCTGCACTTCATTCTTACATTGGTGTCCCAATTTCAGACAGAAGCCTTACGATGAGGAGAGGAGTCTAGAG